CTTAATGCTTTTAATTTTGGTTATTTGGTTGCTTATTTGATTTTAAGCATGCATGAGTTTTGTTTTAAAATGATTATGCATCATTGTTTTAATCTCATGTATGTTGAAAAGATGATTATGATGAACATTTTAAAGTTATATTAATTTTTAAGAATTTTTAGTTCATCATAATAAAATTTTGGTCAAAATTGGTTTTAATACAATTGATATCAATTTTTCAAATACTTTGATTTTACAAATTTTAAAATTTTTAACCTAAATTTGAATGTTTATGCATGTGGTTTAAATGAAAATGATATCTCTCTAACAATTGATATCAAAATTTTCAAATGCATAACATTTTTGGAAAACTTTATGCATATACACTTAATTTTAACAATTGGTATTGATATCAAATTTCAACAATTGGTATTGCATAAAGTATTTTAGTCTTGGATATATTGAATTTCAAGTGCTACTAACATGTTTGTTATTCTTTGTTGAAATTCAATTTTGTTTAAGTGTCTTGTTCTTAAAGCTAAATTTTATGTGGAATGCATTTATTGAGGGGGAGCTTTGATTTTTTTCAAATGATTTTTAAAATGTCAAATTTACTACTTACTCTCCAAAGTTATTTTGAACTTTAAAAGATTAGAGTCTTTTTGATTTAACAAAAAGGGGGAGAAGTGTTAAGGTTTTTTAAAGAGGAGAAATGTTAAAGTAAGAGAGAGTAATTTCAAACTTGAATTCAAAATCTTAAAATTACTCAAATGTTTTGTTATATCAAAAAGGGGGAGATTGTTGAAAACATTTTGATGTTTCGATATAACAAATGAATTTTAAGATTTTGCAAATGATTTTCTAAGTATATTCGATATAATTATTCGAATATCAAAATATTACTCCAAGTCTTTCAAAGTTCATTTTAATCCTTACTAAAGTGTAAAATTGTGTTTTATACTTAACTATTTTAAAACAATTTTACAAAGTATTTCGAGCCTTAATCGAGCCAAAAATATTTTCTTTTTAAAGGGTTTCAAGAAAAATCAGATTGCCCAGGGGGTACAGATTCCCCCCAGGGGGAACAGATTCCCCCTAAGGGGTACCGATTCCCCCCAGGGGGAACAGATTCCCCCCCAGGGGGTACTGATTCCCCCTGTCTAACGGTCAGAAATAGATTGCACTTAGGGAACCGATTCCCCATGAGGGGGTACCGATTCCCCCAACGCTCCAAGCTGTTTTATTAATTATTTCTCATCCTCAAACGGCTCCAAAACATCCCCAACGGCTATATACGACTTCAAACACACTCCAAGCTATAAATACAACCTAATGACACTTGAAGATGCAAGAGAACAACTATCCAAGCAATTAAACACAAGAGAAGAGTTTTTCAATCTTATTTCATCTTTCTCTTGTAAATATTTTGTTCTTGTGAGCTTAATTCTTGTAAACACCTACCTGAGAGATGTTTTCTTGTTTATATTTCTTATCATTTTGTAAAGGGGAAAGGTTCTAGCTAATCCTGTGTAAAAGCTAGGGAAAGGTTATAGTTTAGCCCAGAAAAACTAGGGAGTTTGTGAGGTTACTCTTTATCCTCAAAAGAAAGAACAAATTAGTGAATTTGTTGGAAAATCCTTGGTGAGAGCTAAGGTAGTGGACATAGACTTTGGTTGAGAAAGTCGAACTACTATAAACCGCTATGGAATTCTCTATCTTTCAATCTCCTTACTCCCTAAACACAAAACCGTTCCGACCCCTCTTTGCAAACCGTTTCGGTTGTCGATTCGAGCTTCCGAAAATCCTAACACTATTTACAGACTGAAATCATTTTATACGGGGTACTCTGGGACTCTGGTATGATGAAGACACTGGCAGGTTCAGTCGCTGTTGATAATTCCTTGTATAGGTTCAGCACCGACTGGTAATCCCTTATGGACCTAAGGTGACCCTTGAGTGGGCTCCTGGGCCTAGTGGTAAGACCTTATGGACCCTAAGGTACTTCCTTAGGGATGACACCACTGTTATGTGCTTTTGGGTAGACCTTATGGACTTGAGGGAACTCCCCTCAGGTGGGCACCTATGTTTCAGCTAGGTAAGACCTTATGGACCCAAGGTGCTCCCTTAAGTTGGCACCTATGCCCTTTGGGCCTAGGGTAAGTCTTATGGAAGTAGTTTTGGGGAACTGCATATTCGTGTTTGGTTGGAGGGTTTTACTACGGTTTTAAACATATGTTTTAAAATGTTATTGTTTTTAAAAAAATATGTATTTTTCACTGGTTTTACTGGAACACACTAGACATCCTATTCTGATCTCCTGAACCTTGTTCTCTGAATTTTTCTCTGAACTGTAATCTTCATGCCTGTTACTCGAAGAAATATCAAGGGAACCTCAGCTCATTTTGAAAACCTGTAGACGTTTGGATCGATAAGGAAGTTTTATGCTTGCCTATTATCTGTATGTTCTTCAGCATAATTTGGTAGTAATGTATTATTGAGGTTCCCAAAGCTTACTCTGTTACTCACTATTTCAGGTTAAAATGATTGAACTAGTGCATCTATCGACATCAGTAAAAGAGTTCCACCGGCGTTGCTTACGAAGTACAGTGCATGTGATTAAGGGGCATGTAACTTATATTTTGTTTTTATATCCGAGTCTGGAATCTGTTTTATTTTTTAATATTGTTAAATAATACTTTTGTATTTATAAGTTGTTTTATGATTTTACATGTTTTAACATAAATTTTAAATTTTTCCGGGATTTTTACTGTGGTTGCTCCGGTGACCCTAATGTGACACCTTGGATCGGGTCACTCGCATCAGTCTGTGGGTGTTACACCAATAGTAGGTTTTTGGGCCTGCAGATGTTTTCCCTCGGCTCCAATCTCTGATTGGTGACGTGGATTTTCCAGACAATGAGAAATAATAGTATATTATAGGGTAAACTACATAAATGACTACATAATTATGGGTTAGGCCTCGAAATGATCACTATTTTTTAAAATCATGACAAATATACCACTGAACTATTTAATGGGTTCAAAATGGCCACACGACATTAACATTTAACAGAGGTGTTTACATGACAGTTAAAAAAATTAGTATAATTAGAGCATATGACCTTGAAAAATTACGTTTTTGTAACGCTGCCACACTGCTTTGTTTTCGTCCATTTTGGTCACTACTTGTATATGATTTGTTTCCTTGGATTTTCAATTAATCCAATTTGATCCTGATTTTGTTTTTAATTTGTCAAAAGCCTTAATTTTAAAATCTTTTATTCTAGTCATGTATTAAATTTATAGATTAAATCCCCTAGATTTTAGAATTAATCAATTTGATCACCAAGATTAACTTTAATTCTTATTTTTTTAATTAGGTCTTAATTTCAATTTAATATAACAAAATATTGTTTGACTGGGTACCGCACACCCGGTACCCGGTTTATTATATAGATATATATTATTTTTTATTTTTTATTAAATTTTTATATATAATTCTCAAATTATTTCACTCTAACATTCTAAATTCCTAATTTCTTAAATTTTGCCACCATAGCATTCTAAATTCTTAATTTCTTAAATTATTTCACATTAACATTCTAAAATATTTTTAAAATAGTTATTTTAACTTCGAAACATTTGAAATTTAATTATAATCTTTGTTTTAATTTTTAATATTTTTTCAATTATGTAATTTTATTTTTTAAACTTTACGTGTGAATTATATATTATAGAACTTTAAATTTTAGATTTTTTCTATATATTTCTTTAAAAATAATATAATTCTAAAAAAATAAAAAAATTATAAACGGGTACCCGTCACCCATAAAATATGGGTACTTGAGTTTTACCAATACCTGGATGTAACGGACTGAGGCTCGTGCCGAAATTTTGATACCCGAAAATTTTGGGTACTCAGTATTTCGGATACCCAAAAACACGGGTACCCGATTTTGAACACCCATAGTGGTAGGATTTGAAGAGTAAAGAGAGTGACTAAACTGTAAAACGTACAAAAGATAAGGACCTAGATGTGAGAAAATATGTCATTTGTCAAACGAATAAAATATGAATTCATATGTACTTTTACAATCATTTTCTTCCTATCCTATACGTATTTTGATATACATGAGTACGTAGTTTATGCTGAAGATTGCTCATGGAGAAGTCATATAATTTTTATTAATTATGAAATTATTGTGATGTCAGGGAGATATAATTGACATAATATAGTTAATAAATAATATGTTATAATTAATGTTTCATGTTATTAAGTTAATTGAGAATATGACAACACTTAAATCACTAAAATAAATCTAATATTTTATTTATAATTTAATATTTAAATTATAATATATATTATATTATAATTAATGATAAAAATATATATTATAGTTAATATTCAAATAATAATCATAATATTATGACATGTTTCACAATTTGACTAGAGAAATAAATTTATTAAATTAAATTGAAATTAGACCTAATTAAAGAATTAAAGTTAATCTTGATGATCAAATTGATTAATTCTAAAATCTAGGGATTTAATCTAAAAATTTAATACGTGACTAGAATAAAAGATTTTAAAGTTAATGCTCAATTTAAAGGAATTAGACAAATTAAAGACAAAATCAGGATCAAATTGTATTAAACAAAAATCCAAGGAAACAAATCATATACAAGTAGTGACCAAAATGGAAGAAAACAAAGTAGAGTGCCATCACTGCAATTACTTAACTTTACAAGAACTCACACCTTAATTATATCAAATATTTTTAACTGTCACGTTAACACTTCCGTTATATGTTAACATAGTGTGATCATTTTGACCTATTTAAATAATTCAGTGATATATTGTAATAATTTTAAAAATAGTGGTCATTTCACGACTTGACCAATAGTAACGTGGTCATTTATGTAGTTTACTCTATATTATATTAGTGTGTTAAATCTTCTTAGCTGCACGCCCTTGTTTACAAACGGCCGAACATTTTCCCGTTCGATCGGAGACGCTTTATGCTTCCATTTGATTTTTAGCTCATACTGTGAGATCGATCATATGTATTAGACTTTTCGTTTTCGATTCAGAAAGCCAAACAGTCCCTTATACAAATTTCAGCAGGTATCGCTCATTTTAGTACGTTCTCTGTTGATTCTCAGCACAGAATGCAGCCCAGAAACAAAATGGAGCTTTGAATTTATAAGAAAATATAGAACCTTAATGTCTTACTCTCTCCCTCTCTCTCTCATTTAAGCTCAGTTTTATGTTTAATAACACAAATATATTTTAAAGTTTTCATTGTTTGATTTATAGAACATTAAGCAATGATACGAGTTGATTACTTGATTCAAATATTTGGTTAATTAGCTTAATTTTTAATAATTTTCAGGTGGTTTTGCTTTCGATGCTGGAAGTTTGAAGCTTTTTGGTTACCTTTTGAGGTTGAGAAAAGTTGAAGCAGTTGTTTAAGGATATGTTATTTTTGAAATTTTGATGAATGTGTGGTAATTGTTGGGAAATTTTTGCTGGTGTTTGAATTTAGTATAGATAAAATGAGCGTGGTAGGGTTTGATATCGGGAACGAGAACTGTGTTATCGCGGTTGCTAAGCAACGCGGAATTGACGTGTTGTTGAACGATGAATCGAAGCGTGAGACGCCTGCTGTTGTTTCGTTCGGCGAGAAACAAAGGTTCATGGGCTCAGCTGGGGCAGCTTCTGCGACGATGAATCCTAGGTCCACTATTTTGCAGATTAAGAAATTGATTGGTAGGAAGTTTAATGAACCTGATTTAGAGAAAGAGCTCAAGCTGTTCCCTTTCGAAACTTTCGAAAGCCCTGACGGTGGAATATCGATTCGGTTACAGTTCATGGGAGAGGTTCACGAATTTACTCCTGTACAGATTTTGGGGATGTTGCTTTCACATTTGAAACAGATTGCTGAGAAGAATTTAGAAATGCCTGTTTCGGACTGCGTAATTGGGATTCCATCTTACTTCACTGATTTACAGAGGCGTGCTTATTTGGATGCAGCAGTGATTGCTGGGTTGAAGCCATTGAGATTGTTGCATGATTGCACCGCCACTGCGCTCGGATACGGGATTTACAAGACTGATTTTTCTAACTCAGGTCCAGTTTATACTGTCTTTGTGGATATTGGTCACTGCGACACACAGGTCTGTGTTGCGACATTGAGACAGGACAAATGAAAATCATTTCTCATGCTTTCGATAGGAGCTTGGGAGGAAGAGACTTTGATGAAGTTCTGTTCAATCACTTTGCATCTCAATTTAAGGAGCAGTATAACGTTGATGTTCATACAAATATAAAGGCATCTGTTAGGTTGAGGGCATCGTGTGAGAAGCTGAAGAAGGTCTTGAGTGCAAATGCGGAAGCACCACTTAATGTAGAGTGCTTGATGGATGAGAAAGATGTTAGGGGTTTAATCAAGAGGGAAGTGTTTGAGAAGTTGTCATCTGACTTGTTAGAAAGGATTACTGTCCCTTGTCGCAAGGTTTTGGCAGATTCTGGTCTGACTCTGGATAAAATCAATTCAGTTGAGCTTGTTGGATCAGGGTCTCGAATTCCAGCTATTACAAGGATTTTAGCTTCTATATTTAACCGAGAACCTAGCCGAACGATAAACGCTAGTGAGTGTGTAGCTCGTGGTTGTGCTCTTAAATGTGCGATGCTCAGTCCAATATTCCGTGTCAGAGAGTATGAGGTTTGTGTCTTAACATATTATTGCTTTTAAGATTCTATTACAAAGAGCTTTTACTTCTGATCAAATCCTTTCTTACGTATTATAAATAAACTGACAGTCTCTTGGTCTGGAAACAAACAAGAAAAAAGAGTTTCCTGGTCTGAGTTGTCATATCATTCTTATAAAAACACACTCTCATTTTCACTCACATTCATCTGAATTACAGATACACTATCTTCATGCTTAAATTTCTACCTTTTGTCTTTTTGGGTGAAATTCTTGATGACGTGAAAATGAAATGTGTTATGTAGAATTGTAGATGAATACCATATATTATGTTAATGTGGACCTCATTTTCTGTTTGTTTTGCACTATATTCCACTGTGCTGGATTCATGGGATGGATTTCTTCTGGGATGTACTGCTTTAGGAGTGATTACTTTTGTTTCTTTTCCCCTGCTCTTCAAGCCTGTCTAGGATGTTGGAACTTACTAGGAATAACTTTACTAGTACTATATTTTTCTTGAAAGATGATCTACTTTACGAATAGTATATCTATTGGAGGCCAAATCTCTAATCTCTTAGCCGCAGTATAAGAAAGGAAAGGAATGGTACGTTTTGGTATCACAGAAGTTTTTCTTTGTACAATGTTTTGCAGTTACCATCGAATAAAAATAAGTTACATTTAGATGTTTGCAGCTGTATGCATACTGGTTCTTAATTGGGCTATTTTATGTACAAGGCTATAACATTTTTCATGTGTTTTGATTTGCAGGTTCAAGATTCTATACCTGTATCTATTGGACTCTCATCTGACAAAGGTCCAGTTTGCACTCTTTCAAATGGTGTGCTTTTCCCGAAAGGGCACCCATTTCCAAGCGTTAAGATTCTTACTTTGCATAGAACTAATATGTTCAATATGGAAGCTTTCTATGTGAATTCAAATGAGTTACCTGGATTATCACCTCAACTTAACACTTTTACGGTATGATAGCTGTTTTCATGCTTCTTGTAGACATGTCGCAATCTTGAAAAATATTTATATTTTAACAGTTTTTCTATTTTAACTTCCAAATTAGTTTTCTGAATATTTAGTTTTTATTTCTTTGTTAAAAATTCTTTTAAATTGTGTTTTAATGTTTCTGTAGATTGGACCTATCCTATCCCACACAAATACAGCTAAAGTGAAAGTCAGAGTTCAGCTAAATCTTCATGGGATTGTCAAATTGGAGTCAGCTGTGGTAAATTTGATTCTTTTTTTTTATATTAATGCCATATAATATTGTCCCTTAGTCATTTCTCAAGTAATTTAACTATGGTGCAATGTGAATTTTATTGCGTCAGCTAATAGAGGATCAAATGGATAACTCTGTGACAATCAATGATTATGCACAATCTGATCAGATGTCTTCTGGAGAAAACATTGCTGAAGTCAGTGATAATGCACAATTAGATCCTCCATCTGCTCCTAGTGTAAGTTTTAATTGAAGGTTGCCTACCTTGACTTATTTCTGCATTTGCATTTTACTGTTTTGCTTTCGATTCAGAATTGAAATAAATAACGAATGTTTACGAGACCTTAGATTAATTTGTTAGCAGTTACCCTCTCATGGATTGCCTTGATAAGTTGTTCTACCAACTCCTCATCTTTTGTGTCTTGACAATTGACAATGACATCCAGGATATTTGGACAAAAATTCAAACATACGACATAGAAGAGTGTTGATGTTGAATTCAGTATTCTTGTGCAGGCTGGTGTAGCAAGAAGAGGAAGAGGTTTAAAAAGGTTGGAAATCCCGATTAGTGAGAGTATCTGTAATGGAGTGCAAAGGGATGAGCTCACTAAAGCTGAAGAGAAAGAACGCTGGTTGATGCAACAGGACTTGAAGATGGAGCAAACCAAAGATAGGAAAAATGCCCTTGAGGCTTATGTTTATGAGATGCGTGATAAGGTATTGCTTCAACTTAAATTGATATTAGCTTTATTTTCCACTTACGAGTAAAGAACATCACACGGTTTATTTCACATGATGGGTTTATAACGGTGGCAATTTTAGCTCCATGTCTGTAATTTAAACCCAGTGTATAGAAATGTGAGCATGGATCATGCTTTTGAGTAGGTCTTAGGAATACGTTTGCTTTTTTATAAAAGGTGGGTGCATATTCCTGCTTTTTTGAAAATTATTGCTAAAAACTAACAAGTGTCTAAGTTACTATATATGGTTATACTTTTATATTAATGCAGTACTTGGTAGTTATTTGGTGTTTTTAAGACATTGGAAATTGCAACTTAAAATGATAACATTAAAAGAGTGCCCTAATGGCACTTGTTAGCAAAACCCTTAAATGAAAGTCATGAGCTCACCTTCAACTTTTAGTAGAAAGCAATAAACTTAAAAAGAGAGCAATTTATCCTTTTAAGTTCTTGGGGAATCAGTGACTATGACTATGTGAAATAATTTCCCCAACCCACGCTTCTTTTGTTTGTTTAGTTTATATGGAAAGGTGCCAGAGCAAAATTTTGTGCACTGCAAGTGCTATCATTTGCATTTTTCTTGTCTTTAGTCTCATTTTGAGAATTAGCTAAGGAAGCCACATGATTGGATGATTTATCATGAATAGTAATTGCAGAATATATTCTTGCCATCTAACAGGCCTAGCAATAAACTTTGGTGATTGCCAATTGCCATGTAATCTTAATCTGCATTTGTAATCTCTTAAATCATAATTCCTCATATAGTCTTTCTGAAGTGTAGTGCATTATGCTGTAAATCTTCCATTTCTTTAGTTCTGCCACATGTTAAGAGTAACACAATGCCGTGCATAGACTTTAAATACATACCGAAGCTTTGCCAATGAGTTGGATAGGGAAGAGATTTCTAGAAAACTTCAGGAGACAGAAGATTGGCTTTATGAGGATGGAATGGATGAATCTGAAAATGTTTATGCAGAGAAGCTCGAGGATTTAAGAAAGGTAGCTATCACATGACTAATTACCTTTACCCCGGTTCTGTTCTGTAATGAAATCAACCATTTGATTTGAATTTTAAAGCTTGTGGACCCTATTGAAAATCGGTATAAAGATGAAGAAGCTCGAGTACAAGCAAAAAGTGATCTGCTAAAGTGTATTGAAGATAATCGGACAGCTGCAGCATCACTTCCATCCATTAAGAAAGATGCGGTATATGATTGTTGAGGTTTAATTGACTCACTTTGTTGATATTGCTAGTCCATTGGTTATACACGTCTCTTCTCCTTTTGCAGGTCACTGATGAGTGTAATAAGGCGGAGAGGTGGTTACAAGAGAAATCCCAACAGCAAGACTCCTTGCCCAAAGATGTTGATCCGGTAGTTTGGTCAAGTGAGATCAGGAGAAAAACAGAGGCTCTGGAAGCGTAATAATCTAATTCCTACTTGTATACTTGTCTTTCTTGCCCTTTTTTTAGCCATTTATGCTATACTTATCTTTAGGAGAGGCATTTGATATCAGTAACACAGCATATATATTCTGTATCCGAGATTATCAACAGAAGACTGTAAGATCGAATGTCAAATATTAAATGTTACTACTTTATGATAAAACTTTGGAACCTTCTTTGGAGTTGGTTCTAAACAGATAACTTGAAAGGCCCATGCTAATAATGGTACATGACGTGAAGGCTGTCCGGTAAAATACTATGATATGCTGTTTTGCTTTCACGTCCTCCTGGAAGATCTTTCTTCTACACATAATGCCAACCTAAACATCTTGTCGTATGGAGACATTTCTTAAGGTTTTTTTTTAAAGGTGCACACAGATTAGTAGAAGTACTGCTGTGGCATATGAAACTGAACTCTTGTGGGAAGGGTCTTTTATAAGGAGTGCCTATTGTCAGTATGACAATTAATAATATCATCCATATGCATTCACCTTTGGAATCCATATAAGATTGTGGAATTCGTGTTTTTTTCTACTCCATATATGCTTCTAAATTTATTGTTAACAATTTTTTAATATCTGATGTTTTCATAATTTTATGTTCAGGACATGCAAATATATGATTAGATCCAATGCTTCTACACCAAGTCGGGATGATATGAATGAATGATAAAGGAGGCATATCCGATGGCATGCAGTAAGATTGATGTTGATTTGAATTGATTTATAACACCAAAGACCAGCCAACACAAAAACAACTAAATCGTCTGCAATTTTAGTTTCAGTAGCAGCAGAAAGTATAAATCACCATTGCTCAAGGTGAGCACTCATTGCTTTTATTATCAAGGTCGTCATCTCTCTTGATGTTTGTTTAATAAAATGAAAATGTTCAGATGATGCCCCTATGATTTTCGTTACGTGAACTACTATAGTTAATGGAAATTATTACGCAGTTTTTTTCCTCTCTGCGACACAATTTTAAGTATCTGTATATGCTTCTTTCAATTTGAGCTTCAACTTAGAATTAAAATTAGCTTCAACTTAGAATTAAAATTACTTAGGATATGTCGACTGAACCACAAGTGGTGTGGCAAAGGACTTGTGTTCAAATCTTCAGCTGACACCTGCCTTGGGTTCGATCATCGGACAATCCCTACCTCCTACCCCTTACCAGGAAAAAGATTACCTAGCCGGAAGAATTATATACTTAAGTAGAGCATAATGGGGAACTTAGTTTATGTTTTATATAATCAAGCAAACTCTAGAGTACTGCAAACTCTCAGCTGTGAGTTCAAGCCAACCGTATTTTGAGGCCTATAAGCTCAAAAGCTACCATAAGCAAACCATTTGATAGTAGTATGAGCAAAATGCCATGGGATTGGCATTTTGGCTTATTTGTGGTTGGTCAATCGAGTCCAGATTCATTTCTTCAACTTTTTGATGCATATGCATGTAAAGCTTAATAATCTTTACCTCTTAGAAGAGGCTCCTCATTATCCCATTTGTCCAACCGCTTCTTGGTTGTCTCCACCTGAAATTTCAGCAGGCTCACCAATTCTCATTTAGGGTGTTAATAGGCATGAAAATTAGGTCAAATTATAGTTTTGATTCCTCTATTATGGTCAAATTTGGGATTTAGTCCATGTACTTTAATTTGACATAATTTCATTTCTTTACTTTTATAATGTCACTAATTTGTTCGAATGGTTAATACTGTTATATATTTCGGTTGGAATGCCGACAGTGAATTTCCTTGATAACTATTTGAACTAACTAATGATACAATAAAAGTACAGGGGTCAACTTATGTTAAACTAAAATATGGGGACTAAATTTCAAGTTTGAGTGTAGTAGGTAGACCATAACCATAATTTAACCGAAAAAATTAGGCATGTCAATACATGAATAACAAAGTGAGGTGGATGAAACGTTCGACAGGGACTACTTGCCTCTTTGTTCCAATCTGTAGTAAATGTAACCCACAGTAAAATGAGGGTCTGCATTAATGTTCCTCCAATCATCCCGGACCATATTCCCTGCTCGAAGAGTCGAATATCTCAGCCCGAAACCTCGATGACAATACGATTTAAAAAAAATAAATAAATTAACAGAAAAAGAGAGTCGACTGAGTATTAGTTTTATTGACAGCGGTATTTAAAGATTTTTGAAAATTATGGATTCGAGTAGACTATAGTTTTTACCTTTGCCCCAAGATTGTACTTAAAGCCTAGAAGGCACCCCAAAGGGATCCCTACAACATAGTAGCATCCCACGTTTAAATATGCAACAAATGTTTGCCATCCACATCCAACAGCCACCCCTGCAATGCAATTCAACAAATCATATCTCATTTACTAGCTTTTGTTGCTCAATTCTGGATTTAGTTCCTCTACTCTGTTAAAATTTGATCTTTAAACTTAAATTTGTCATATTTTAATTCCCTCACTTTTAATCTGTTGCTAGTAAGTTCTAATTTATAATACCATTATTTTTTGAAGTGATGGTGTACAGTCTCTTAACTGTTATTTGGTCACACCATCAGGGCTAATGAATATCTATTCAACCAGTAATAAAGTTTTCATGCCATACAAATACTTAATGTTCTTTTTTTTAAAAATCTACACAAGGCATGAACTGAAAATGCTATAAATTTAGATCTACTAGTAACATTATAAATTTAGTAACAGGGAATCATGTAAAATTAAAGGATTAATCAGTAAAATGAAGGGCCTAAAGGCATAAGAAAAACGTTTCTCACTGGACAAGACAGGTTGAACTCCATTAAGAACAAGAGTGACGGCCAAGAATGGGCATAGGTCCGACACTGACTTGGCCACGGTCTGACCTTCCGTAAATGGAAAGCTAATTACATGGCATAGAGCTAAAACGACAACTGCTTCTACGACAGCAATGCTTAAGGAAACCAATGTCACAACTGTAACTGTGAATGCTGCCAACTTGGGGTGGCCGGCTTCCAGCTCATTGCTCACCCTAACACTGTTTTCAGCGGTAACATAACATAAGCAATCTACGTTCCTTCAAATTGATAGAGTAATTAATGTAGGTAATTATGAATTTCATCCTTGTACAAAGACTAGAGTTAATCTGTCATAACGTCTCCCTGGGGAATCCGTTAGACTAAAAAAATTGGTTTTCGGGGAAGGCGATGAAATACACTTTTGAAAACAATTTGATTTTGGAGTCGCCACCAACCTTTAAGTTAGGTACGTTGGAAAACTTAAACGACAAAAATGGTCTGTGTTTTACCAAAAATTCATTTTTAAGAGTTAAAGAGTCGATTACGTGTGGGGAAGGGTGAGCACCACCACAACGCCCAAATTTTGGTACCTAAACGATTATATGTTGTTTAAATATTGGGAATTACAAACTCGAAAATATATTTAAATTAAGATCCTTTTATTCATTTGACTTTATTCAGAAAGTGTCAATTTTTGGATAATTAATGCTCTTTTGTGTGAACAATCTTCGGGAAAGCACTTCCTTTACATTTAGGAGACTTTCCCATAGATTCCCCTCACAAAAGACACTATTTCGCAATTTTCGTAAAGATAAAATAACATAAAATAAAAAAAATAAAAGGGAAAAGAGTTGAAAATAATAAAAATAAATAAACGTGGAACAAAGAGAATTATCGAATACAAAATAAACATTTATGCTAAAAATCCTCGAAAAGACACATTCCCTTGTAGTCGGGAGATGTCTTCGTAGATTTCTCTCACAATAAAATTTTCCATTTACATATTTTATAAAAAAATGAAATATATAAAAAAGGTGGAAGCAATAATACCAATGTGCACCTAAATACGGGACCAAAATATAAACATGAAAAAAATGAGAGCCAATACAAAAATATCAAATTTCACGTATAACAACATCAAGGACTAAAACATAATAAAAATAAATTATAGATATTATGTAATAATTATAGGAATTAAAACTTAATGTGGTCAAAACAGCAAGGACTAAACGAGAAATAAAAGTAAAGTTAACACAAAGTTAAAATCAATGGCCAAAATGCATACAAAGCCAAAGTACAGAGATTACAAACATAAATAGAACATGCATTTCCTTTACACAGTAACTAGTGACTAAAATGAACAAACAAGAAAATATAATGCATGTGTATTGTAACAACCCCAACCCGTATCCTACCAGTTTACGAATCCGAGGTGTCACATTGACTTTTAAAAATCATTTGCTTTCAAAGATAATTCAAAATAAAAATTTATATTAAATTTGTATATGAATAATTTACATAATTACAATCAAACAGATTTACAAAACCAATCAGAGCATATACCATTCCAACTTATAATTACATGCCAACCATATTTCATATAACAAAAGAACCTACTATGATATATTGCTTCTGATTTGATCCTGGTAAAGATATGCAGTCCCAACTTCTTATCCTTGCTCCTTAGGCTTATTTGATCCTACGTGTGAAACACTCACACGCTAAGTCACAGACTTAGTGAGGCATATACGCGTAAATGAATTAATGAAACATGCAGTTGCATACTTTCATAATGTACAAGAAGCGTTAAATCTCAAATCAACAAGACATATATGATCCTACATTTAACAAATAATAACGTATCACATTATGAAATGTTAATTCATTTTATATCTTTGATTTACCCATAGTACATTACTAAGAACTAAATATATGTGAGTGCATTGAGGTTGTGCACAAATTTGTCACCACAACTCGTATAAAATGCACCGAAGTGCCACATAGAATGTCCCGAAGGACCACATAGATGTCCCGAAGGACCGCGTAGAACCCTCGACTCTTAGCATGCCAATTATACCCTCAGCTCTCATATCACATACTATGGGCTTTACCATTTATATCATATATTATATCTTATTTCACATAGTCAAGCAATCACATGTTCATGTAATCACGTAGATCATATCATATAGCTTATATTTTTTTCTCTTATGTTCATATAGATCATATATCATATATAATAATATATAAACACATATAACTTATGAATGTAGTCATGTAATCATAATAATCATATCAATCACATGCTTGTTCTTATGTAATGATGCAATTAAACATGGGAAATCAACTTAAAAAAAGTCTTGTTTCTATAAAACACCATATACAATATAGTATGCACTCACCTTGGCCTCACTAGTCCAATCAAAACACCTATGACTCTGGAACACTCTTATAGCTTGAATCGTCTTGAGCTTGCCTTAGATCGATATCTACACAAATATGTAACTTTTATGAATATCGAAATTTGGATTACTAATAATCAATCATCCAAACTTAATCTCAAAAAAACTTGATTCACAAATTCCATATGAATAGTATCCGTACCCATGGTATAGTACCGATACTTCCTTACTGTGGTATCGACACTATACTTCAGTATCGATACCCTTTTTACATACTGGAATTCATCTTTGAAAATGGTACCGATACCTTTACTCTAGTATCGATACCCTTGGTATCGATGCTACTCCTTTAGTATCGATACTAAACTACTGATTCATAAAATTTCACCATATGGTATCTATACTGTTATTCTAGTATCGATACCCAAACCCAATTATCACCTTCTTTTATTCTCAAGTATTGATATGTTCATCCAATACCGATACCCCTATCTAGAAATTACTTATTTTAACCTAAATTTAACTAATCTTACTTAAATCTTCATCTTTAACCTCTTTTAAAGCTTTTAAACTTAACCACACATTTAAAAACCAACTTATATCACTAAAACATACTTAAACATCCAAACTCCCCATAAAACACTTGGAACTAAAAATCTTACCAAATATTCAACTTTATTATAATTCCCTTTTAACCTCATAAATCTCTTATTATTACTGATGATAAGTCAAATATAGTTTAAAAATCCATTTACAA